GGAACCCCACTGGTGACCGGCCTCCAGCCAGCCTTCAGCCAGCCTTCAGCAGGTGACTGGCCTCCAGCCAGCCTTCAGCTGGTCACCAGTTGTTGAAGCAACATTATATAATCATTGTTGAAGCAACATTATCTAATCATTCAATAAATATAAATACTTGAATTTTCTTCCCAACTCCATTAATTCTTCATAATGCTATAATCATCCTCCTGAAGAGTATAATCATACACACGCCAGTGTATTTGCTGGTCACTAATAGATTTGCTAACCCTCTTCCTCAAAATACGAAAGCTGCCTTAGGCAACACAGCCTAAATCTGGGAGCAAATTCTGAGACAGACCTGTTAACTGTTCCTGATGTCAGAATGATCCAGATTTTAACTGTAAGATGACATCCATAAGAGTAGGGACGAGAGTATCTTTGTTAGAATGTGACAAGTAGCAGTTCTGAATTTAAGGCATAATTTAAATGGCTGTTTTGTATGGACGTGTGTAAGAAATCCCAAAAATGGGCCTTCTAGAATCCAATGAAGAGATACTTTCAGGACTACTGTAAAAGACAGCTTAGTACAAAAAAGCATCATTGCATTCCTGTTGTATTTATGTGAAAGTATAATAATACAGAAGCAGTTTACTAACACACAGGTTATCTGATAGAGAAAAGGGTCACCTGTATGAGAGATGGCTAAGCACCCAAAACCAGCTAATCCACATGCTATCATGCATCAGAGGCTGCAAAACCCCAAACCCAGCATTTCCTCCCAAAAAAAAACCCTAATGGTAAGTCAAAAACCTGAAACAGTGCTGTGCCACAAGATGTTAGCAACAAAGAGTTCAGAGTTTACTGGGTACTGAAACAACAAATGACGGAATAAGTGAAATTCATGCAGTTCTCTGATCATATCACATGTTCTACAGAGCTGTGGAGGTTAGGTGGACAAAAAGTAATCCTTGTCAATCTGGCACAGGGATAAAAATTATCTGACCACAGAGCTGGTAATAGATTTAATTCCAAGTATGTGAGCAGATATGACAAGTAGGTGAGAGATAACTTTATGCCATTAGCACAGCACTATATTGTACCCCATGTCCTCTCTAGTAGTCATGGCTAAATTTGAGTGCTTTCATGAAAAGTGCAAGAAGAAAAACAAAGGACAAATTATGCACTGAAGGAGGAAGACTCTGACCTCCCATAGTGACCAAGAAGCCCTGAAATGTTGTATTAATACAGTATAGATAGATGTTTCTTTTAAAAAGTAATATTGCTCGCTTTGAATCTCTTTGTACATACCATAAAGTATGATACTTTGAATTCATATCAGAATTTGAGTTTTAAATGTTATGAAATTCCCCTAAATAAGTATATAGTCCCTCCCATAAAACTTTCCAGACTGCATCCTAAAAAAGTTTAGGTTCCCTTCCTAAAGTTTAGAAAACTTCCAGAACTTCATTGTTTTGAAGGTCAGACAGAAATCACATTGTTTAATTTACATTGTTAGAATATGCATGAGCATAGTTAAAAAAACCTCACAAAACCTCTGAACTCACTTAATGGCTTTTTTTTTAATTGTCTCTATCAGGAGAAATTAACCAGGTTATTTATCTTGTCTATGTTACTGCAGCTTACAGAAACCAACTACAGAGTATTGCAGGTATATTGATAAGAAGATACAATACTATTTCACCACCTGTCATTTATCCCTGGGTATGTTTGGAAAATATGACAAGGATCTAGCATAGAGTAACATTTCCCATACTGCAAAATCAAGACAAGAGCATATAGAGAGCTGCTTAGTAACCAGGTAGTGCATAAAGTGGTCGGTGTCTTGGGTGCTTCCAGGCACACCTTTCGAATGACTGTTGTCTGTTATTCTTGCCAGTGCCCGGGAATCTAGGGTGTTACAAGGACCATGGAGAGCCACCTTTGACTGGCACCAGCGAGACCTCCAATAAACTTACTATCCAAACCTGCATCAGTTCCTGCCGAAGTCAGCAATTTAAGGTGATTTCTTTGACATATATTTACAAAATGTTTTCAGAAATGAAAGATGGCAATATGCCTAGAGCGCTCTATCACATTTCTCCCCTGCTCTTTTTTTTACCTTTAGGAGGTCTACGGTCTTACTCCCACTCCAGGAGACCTAGCTTTCTCTCTGCATCCAGAGCAGTCTGAGCAAACGACCAATTAATAGTGCCAGGATGCCAGGAGAAAGTATGCTTGCGTACTGCAGTTATGAGGGATAGGGTGCCTCCATTCCATCTTTCTCGTTATTCTTAAATAGCATCCTGACAGCTCAAACAAAAAACAGGTTGTGGTGGGACCTCCGACTAACCATACTTCTCTATAACACACAAATTCTGCTGCCAGCTTTCTTGCTCATACAACCTTCTGCTGTTACTCCTGTAAATATTATCCCTCCCTTCCTTACGCATCTTTGTTGTCAAAGTTTGCAGGCATGGAATCTGGTTATGCTTGTTTCTGTGGAAATAATCCTGACTATTGGAGATATGGAGAGGCAGCCAGTACGGAATGCAACAGTGTTTGCTTTGGAGACCATACTCAGCCTTGCGGTGGGGATGGCAGAGTCATTCTTTTTGACAGTAAGTATTGGAACAGGCTCAGTTTTTCTCAAAGGAGAGGACTCAAATGTTCAGCAAATCAGGGAAAAGGGTTTAAATGCAATGAGAAGTGTTGCACGCAAAACAGCAAAACACCTAAAATCAGTATAAAATACAGCTGCTTTCCATTTCTGCATAAAATTCACATCCATTAATAATGTGAAGTAGCTCTTCCAAGAAATGATGCCTGCTCAGGCAACTGACTCACGCTCCAGAGATTGTCTCTTACTTTCCCACAAGTGGTACTAACTCAGCTATCACAAACAGCATGTCACAGAAAGACTCCTTCAGAACTGGTCTTACCAGAGAGTAGATACATGATTAAGTGAGGCACCTCAAATAAAATTTCAATCTACACCAACTTGGAAATTTTTTTTATTAAACCAGACAAGACTTGCTATAACCTGATTAACACAACACAAAGCAGTGTAGTAGAATTGGGACAGGGAAGGAGTGTACCACAGAAGTACAAACAAGTTAGGTTGCTATTATGACCATAGTTGATTCCATAATTTCTTATACATAGAAATCCTCCTTCCTACTCTACTTTTCAGTATACATACCAGTGCCAGCTGCGTAACTTCACAGGATGACGGTATGAGTACCCAGTTGTCTAGCTGCAGTACAGTACTGGCTCCCAGTATAGCTGGGAGTACTGGAAAAGTTTACAGTATGCACCAGTACGTTGTTGCTTCTCTAATCTCAGCTGCCTCTGATGTAGAAGCTACCTTTTAAGTCGAATTATAAACTCTCTGAAACTCTATAAGTCATATCATTTTCCACCTTCTGAACACACAACCAAATTCCCATCTCCTTACTCTAAAACTCTGATTCCCAGCTAGCGAGACAGAAAGACATTTCAGTTGAGTCAGGAATTTAGTCCCTGCTCACTTCCAAATTCTCCCCAGGATATGGAAAGAAGCACCAGAGTTGCATGTTGCTTTCAATGTTAAGGTAGCATGGACCTTCACACTGCAGCATCCTGTTTCCTTCTGCTCTTGGCGTTCCACATCCTTGACGGGTAAAGACCTCCTTTGTAGCTTTCTTTTTCTGGAATGACTGAGGGCTTAGTAAAATGTTACCCTGAGGACCTGCACTGTCTTTTCTGGTAAACAGCAAGGGAGAGAGCTATGGCCAGGTAAGAGAGGTCATCCTAGTAACTGCCACCTATTTTCTTTTGCTGATGAGCAACACCTGCTCATCTCATTCTTCTTTTCCAGGTTATGTCATATCCCCAACCTTCACTCCAATCGCTGTATGTATACACATGCCCACCCGCCCCTCCCAAACCCCCCACATCCCCACCCCCTGTTAACCTTATGTGTTTCTGTGCTACTGTCACGGCCTAAAGCTGTAACATGCAGACCCACAACACAGAATTCTGCCAGCTGTAGAAGGAAATGAGAGAGGGGAAGTATTTCCATTCCATATGGGGCAATGCTGTACTTCATTAGGCATCTGTGGAGCACTAGTCAGTGGCGTTCTTAGTATTGCTAGTTTGAAGAACGTGCAATTCAGTAATTACAAACAGCACAGCCAAATCTTACAACACCTATAAGCCATTTGCGAAGAAGAAATTTGATATCTCAATGACAAATTTCAATTGTATCAATGCAATCTATTCTATCTATTAAAAAAATTCTGTCTATTCAATTAAATCACCAGCTTTGTTAGCATGGAGTTAAGTGCCAAAAAATTCCTCTATGGGGCTCAGAACCTCTGTAGGGTCTTTCATGTTTTTTCTATTCTTCTTTCATATTTTTTCAGTTCCTCTGTAAGATCTCTCATAGTGCAGCACTGAAGTGTGAGGCTTGCACAGGCTGTGATCAAGCCTTACTCCAGAAAAAGAAATGTTTTCACGTGATTTTTCTGGCAGACGTATGCTACTACTTGTTCTCGTTCCCCCAGCTTCCGTTTAATTTGTATTTATATTAAAGCTCTTTCTCAGAGACCTGTGAAAACTGAGACACTTCAAAACACTTCATTTTATTTCCATTCTCACAGGCCTGTATTACAGGGCTTTAATTAAGCTTTCAGAGAAAATAATTCTAGCATGATTCTTCAGTCCTTCAGCCTATGATATGAGGGAGTGATAACTCTGATACAAACAGTTTTGTTATGAATATTATATAATATAAATAGTATTGTGTATATTGAAGAGATATATAAATACATATATATATGCATATATACCCTATATACAGTACATTTTAAAAATTATATATGTGTATATATAGATATGCATCAAGTCAGTTGGCTCGCATTTTAATTTCTCTCTTGTTTCATTGGTAAATAAGTTTGCATTAGGAATCTGGGTAGTTGTCAAGGAATATAAAGATTTACCAGGTGTGTGGCTTGTTTTGAATTTAAAAGGTAGCAACAAATCTAAAAGATTTTCTTTAGACCTCGTAACAGGATCTTTTTCAAGTTACATAGTGACAGTAATGTCAAACATAAATTGGACAAGATCAAAAGACAGGATGCTTAAAAAGCACGTATAAATGGCCACAAAGGTGATTAAGAGATTGTAGCATCATTTGTACAAGGAGAAACTGAGAGCTCTTGGATTGTTTAGCCTTGAGAAAAGAAGGCTCAGGGGGGATCTTTTCAGTTTGTATGAATAACTGATGGGAGGGTCTAAAGATGAAGCCAGACTCTCAATGTTGTCTACTGAATAGACAGGAGGCAATAGGCACAAATCAAAATACAGGAAAATCCATTTAAATATAAGGAAAGACTTTTTTTTTATGGTGAGAGTGACAATGGAACAGGCTGCCTGTAGAGGTTGTGGAGTCTCCATCCTTGGAGACTCAGAACTAGACAATGTCTCCTGCTTTGAGCAGGGGGATTGGACTAGACAGTCTCCAGGGGCCCCTTCCAACCTCAGCTATTCTACGAAGATTTGTTTTTTCAGTTTGACAAGACTGCAAAGGAATTTCGATAATTCAACAGTGAGCGTTATAGTCACTAATCCACTTGCCTGCCTGCCTGATAGGGATGGAGTAGAAGTCCCTAAATCAGTGATTTAACTTTCATGCTCTTCCTGCAGGGATGCAGGAAAGGTACATGGTTACATACAAGGACAAAGGATAGTTGCAGTATTCAAGATTGATCCATAGGTCTCAGAATAATGAGCCGGAATGACTGTATCGTCTCAAGCGGATGCAACGTAATAGCTGTGCTCCCAGTGCTGTGGAAAGTAAAGAATACCAGTCTGCGAGACAGTGCATCCTGCTGGGGGAGGAACTCTGTACCTTCAAGTCACGTTGGAGTATTAGAATCTACAGAGTGCTAAAGCTGTGCCTAATGAATGTGTAACCTCTTTGTTTAATTTTTCTCCCTCTCCTTTTCACAGCCCTTATTGGTGCCTGTGGAGGGAATTACACTTCTGCTACAGCTGTGATCTATTCCCCAGATTTTCCTGACACATACGGCACAGGCAAAGTCTGTTACTGGACTATACAAGTTCCAGGAGCATCTCGAATCCACTTCAGCTTTGCCCTTTTTGAAATCAAAGATGCTACAGATATGGTGGAATTGCTGGATGGCTATACCTATCATGTTCTAGCTCGTTTTAATGGCAAGAATCGGCCTCCTCACACCTTTAATATCTCTTTGGATTTTGTAATTTTGTACTTTTTCTCAGATGAAATCAATCAAGCCCAGGGATTTGCTATCAGATATAGAGGTAAGAGGCTAAATTTGCTGTTTCTACCTTTCAATGAGCCGTTAAAGCATTTAATTCATACAGGAGATTTCTGAAGCGGCAAAAAAAGAGGAAATATTTTAAATCTCATGTCTACAGGTGTTTCATCTATCTTGTTTCCACTGCTCAGTGAGTAAAAGCTTCACTAAAATTTCTCTCAATTTGGAACAGTCCAGTCAGCTATGTCATAAATAGCAAAATTTAAATTTTCAAAAATTCAATCCTATACATACCTGCCTTTCAAAACAGATTGGAAAATGACAAAGCTGAAAGAAAACAAAAAACCCGTAGTCCATCTTCTTCTTAGTTCATCTTGGCTCTCTCCAACAGTCTGTTCCACTCAGATTGAAAGTCATCAGGAGAAAACATTTTAGTCCTCGAGTTGTACTTACTGTTGTGATGAACAATTAGCTTCCAGTAAAATTCTGAGAACCCCAGCTTGGTGAAGTACAGGCTTTTTCTGGCATCAGACATGATTCAGTTATTGGAGTTCTCTAAGTAAACCAGAGAGCAGCACATGTCTGTTTAGAAGCACAATATAAAGTCCAATCACACCTGTTAAGAAATTGTTTTTGTAATCATACTCTTGTGTTTTCAGCTGTGAAGGACAATGTGCATCAAAACAAGATTCCAACGAATCAGACCATGTCAGAGAAGATAAATGAACAAGCAAATCTCAGCATCAATGCAGCCCGGTCATCAAAGATACTTTATGTCATCACAACCAGCCCAAGTCATCCTAGTAGCTCCATGCCTGGTAATATTACATGGAAATGTGGAAAAGGAAAAACATTTTGCCAAGGCACAATCTATAGTCACTGTTTGCTTTGCCTCCTCCACATTTTCTGATCTTACTAACAGATGAATTTTCATTTAGTCTAATTGCCTCTAACTGTGCTGCTCTTATTACTTCTCAAAACTCAATTCTCAGCATAAATCAGTTAGAAATAGTCTGAAGAAGGTGAGTCCTTGAGAATAAAAGGACATCAGAATAAGATATGAGTCAGAGCAGCCTCCTTAGTAGGATCAGCTTCAGTGACCAGTGCATACCACAGAAATGGCAAAAGGTGCTGAAAAAAGAGAAAAGCTTTTGTAGGGTCTGGAAGAGCCTTAATGCTGGATGCATCCCAGTTATCTCAATTCACAAAAGCTACAGCTACAAAGAGGGCTAGACAAGGATGAAGCAAGTTAATGAGTGCAGGGAGATGCCACTGAGAACTGTCGTGTGTCTAGACCTCATCTTGAAGACATGACTTCATTCAGGAAATTGTTGAGTTGTAAATAATTGAAGACTAAAAATGCACTCTCAGTGAATATCACTATTGGTCTCTCCTATCTTTCAACTACTCTGGGCATCTGCTTTTATGTATCTTTTCAGCTGGGCCTCGATCACGCTGTGGACACTCTAATAGTTCTGTAGTCCTGATGCTGTCCACATTCCAAATCTGAAGCGTAAGGACATGACTGCACATGAGCTGCATATAGTCAAACTGGCCAGGTTGCAGACATGCCCAAGATCCAGGGCAGATATCCTGGCACTGGGCCCAGACTAGTGCCTGAGTTACCACAGTTACATTTAAGCTGCCTAGTCTTTAACGAGCTTGGGCATACCAACCTAAGATGAAACTGCACCCTTGGATTTTATGCAGTTATGAAAATACTGTTAGAATAATCATGAACAGTCAATGCTTTGAGAAAGGAGCATTTTGTGGGAGAGAACTTAGTCTTCCTTTTTTTACTCCTTTGAGCTTCAGGACTTCTGAAGGTGATGGCCTTTATTCAGTTGTTGTAATAATTCAAAGTCCTTGCAAGACTGTTCAGTGTGCTAAGCATGTCAGAGTTACATTCCAGTGCCATCTCGTTTCCCATCTCAACATGCTGTAGCCTCCCACTGCAAGATTGTGGAAGTCAAAATGACAAGGTCATCTAGTATGTTAGAAATAGCTTCCCTGGAGCCCAATCTCTTAGTGGTTCAAATGTTACCATGTGTCAAGTTGTTCCTTAAGTCCTGCTTGACTTGCTGGTACAACCAGAACTAAATTTAAATGTAAAATAGAATGACAAAGAGCTGTCAGTGTTAAGTGATAAAATAACAGAGTACAAATACTATCACCTGTCTCAGTAGACTCTAGAAAGGTAAAAAAAAAACCCTACTTAGTGATTACTTACATAATTATTGATATAAAACTAAGCCATCTCCCTGCAAACATAGAATTACTACTGGTGCCATATATTCTAGTATGTTGTTTAGACTGCCTTTAAATTTTCCTCTGAGTGAGTTTTGATTCCTTTCCTAGATACTAGTTAGATAATTTTACTGATATATGCTTAAGGAGCAGTACTGCATGGGAAAAAACAGTTCTGACTGAGAGTTACACAGTTTCTGCCAGTCTGCAGAAAATACTTCAAGGTTTAAGGCATCTTCAAATTACAGTGTTGAAAAAAAGCATCATAAGGCTATGTGTTTCTTTTGTGCAATATTCTTACTTGAAAAATTGAAAGTAAATGAATGTACTGAGAGCTCCTTCCTCCCCTCTCCTCCCCTTCCCCTCCTCTCCCCTCCCTTCCTCTCCCCTCTCCTCTCTCCTCTGCTGTCCCTCTCCCTCTCTTCTCTTTTACAGAGTGGACAATATACAGTCTCACAGCACTGCTAATCCTAAGTGTTACAGCCATAATAGCAAAGATATTTCTGCACATAACCATGAGGTAAGTATGGAGCAAAACTATCCCTGGAGAATGGACATCTCAACTCTGTACCAAACCTGGTACATTTCATTTCTCTGCCTTCTGATACTGCCAGATTGGTCATATTCAAAACCAAGTTATATGTTGCGTGTTTGTATTCTCATAAAAGATATTAAATAAGCACATTTTTTAACTTTCCAGTCTGTTAGGATAGCATTTGCTGCTAGAATCTCTCTTTTGGTCTTGTTTTGACAAGATTCGTATTTCAAGGAATAAAAAGGTTTCTCATACTGACTGATGTTATATAGCAAAGAGGAAAATTTAATCAGACATCTAGCATTGGTGGGAAGAGGTCAAATGATGAGAATACTTTGTGGGAAAAAAGCTAAAACCTCAAACCAGATCAGAGAACCAGGGAAAAAAGTTACATATAGACTAGTTAATACTTACTTTCTTTTATGAAATGTTGAAAATGGTTCAAAATACAATCCCAAATATGAAAAGTTGTATTATGGTGTGACACTTAACCAGTATAGTTTGGTGGGGTTTTTTTGCCTATTAAAAACAACATAATTTTATTACTATATTTCTCTACACTTACTCCGAGTAATTTTTGTGGCCCCTAGATGGACACTCATTGAATGAAATGATGGGTGACTTATCAACAAATCATAAATGTTGAATATTTTATTTACATACCACAAACAGGCTTAAATATACAAGGAAATTAATTTATATTAATAGCAATTAGTAATAGAATATCTACAGACTTCTTAGCTTAATGTCACTGCTTTAATTAGGGTAGCAACTACTCTAGCAACAGAATGCCTAACTTTTCATTTGGTCAAGAAACAACCAGCAAACGCTCCAAAAACCTACATACCTGTGCAGCAGGTAAAAAGGTGTCACAGAGGTAGTGGAAGCAGCTAGCATTACCCATGTAGCAGTAATGCAGACATACTAATAATAGCAGCTTCCCAAGCACCTTAACACCTGGAGTGAATTAACACTTGTTTTGTAGATCCCATCAGATATCATCTGCAACTGAAACAGAAGATTCCAATGAGGTTACTACTGGTGAGATCTGGAGTATATTTTATCAGCCATCCACATCAATATTTATCTTCAAGAAAAAGCTTCGAAGTCAACAAGATGATTGCAACCCACTAGTGGGAAACTGAAGTATCTTTTATTTTACAAGAATCAATCTTCTTAAAATCCAGGTGACTTGAGAATAATCCTTTTTTACTGTCTCAATCTCATATTTGTTTTCCAAAAAGTCCATTTCCAAAGGCCTTTGAGTGACTTTGCCTATCTGCTGTTCTCTTGGGTATGCTAATGACAACATATTTAATTTCGACAATAGTTTTGCAATATCTAGTGCTCATCAAATCTGTAGCACTGTTAATTACTGCCTTTAAACCAAAGCACTTAAAATACGTGTAGAAACCTGTAAAATCCAGAATGTCCTGTACACCTGCCAAAAGTAATTGAATCTGCAGGTCGAGGACTTCTTGTGTCCTACTTTCCTGTACCACTGTATTATATCAAGCTACTTTAGTGCCTTTATTCTCAAGGCTGAAGGCAGAGGTAGATACCGATAACTTGTTCAGCTGCCACAGCAACCAGAGCTTATTTGCCTTAATGTAAACATGTCTAAATGGGACTTGCAGTAAAATGGGAGTCAGAGACTTTGAGAAACTATCAGCCTGGTTGCCCAGTGCTCTGCTGTTTCTACATTTTCTGTTTCTACAAGCAGAGATGTACAAATAAAAATCAAATCAAATTCAGGAGGCAAACACTATGGAGTTTCAGCTGCAAATGTGAGTTTCGATGGAGCACTGCTCACCAGGTCAACATCTGCACAAGCAACAAAGACTTTTCAATGACTATGTTGGACCCATCATTCACTGATGATTATGATAATTTTGTTCATATTCACAGTAATCCTTAAAAAACTATTGTACTCCAGTCTGAAGTCCTGCATTCATTCTGGATGTAAGCTTAGGGCTTCTCAAAGGATTGTCCAAAGAAATTGTAAATCCACTGAATTTTTAAACAGTGAGGCTGACTAACACAAATTCTTACTCTGAAGTTAAAGATACTGATGTCAACAGCCTAACCTATTTAGAAAGTTGTAGCCTGCTATCAACAACTCACCTATGCCAGGCTGTGCATCTGAACACATCTACATTAGTTGTCTCAATACTTATCTTTGAGAAGAAAAAAGTGTCTCCTTACTGCAAAATCTAAATTGAATTGCATTTTTAAGATTAATGCCCTTAATTGTCAAAGAACTAAAACATCAGTGAGGATCTGATCTGTGAAGTAATTTCTCTTTGATTGCAACAGACAGCATTAACTATTCTTTCTCTTTGGTAGAATATCTGTCCACCACAATGCTCAGACTTTGCATCCCGCCACTGGGGATCAACAGGGAGACTTTCAGCCTCAGTACGTCCAGACCAGCAGGATATTTAGGAAAAACTGACAATACAGAAGTCAGATAAATTGACTCAAAAAATTTGCTGAGTGAGCAGCTCCTCAGTTAGAGGAAATTTCATGAGAGCCATTAAAGTACAGTAATTCTTGTTAAGACAAAAGGAATAAATATCAGTTTAAACATAAACCAATGGTCTATGTATACCAGACCTGCAGTCAGAGAAACAACTATTAAATCTGCATCTGCAAAAGATGAGTAAGAAAATTGTCACTGAGTTTAAATTCATTATAGTATCTGCCCTTCTGTTTTTAATGTATAACTCTCTCCCCTTCATTAGGTCTATAGATTTCCTTGAAAAAATAGGGTATCTAGGAATTAAACAATGAAATACTGTGCCTTACTTGCCATTGTAGATCTAGTCTTTCACCTGAACTGAATACATTCCAGCTCCATTTATGTATCACAGATGAGTTCCAGAGACAGCTGAACAATACCACAATAAATGCTTAATAGAAACAAGACTTTACTAAGCCAGTAATTATGGAATTGTTTATATCAAAAATGGAATATCATGGGAACATCTAGTACTTTCTTGCTTGAGCTGCTGGAAAGAATACAGGAAAAGATAATTACAGTATTGCCTAAAATCAAGACAGGACGAGTTGTAAAATAAGCTAGTTCTCTCTTACATGTCATCAGGTTGGGCCAAAAAAAAATTATCCATTTCGAACCAAACAAAAA